CTGTACGGGATTCGAACCACTGACCAGTGGTTCGAATCCCGTACAGGCCTGAAATTTTTTTCAGGTCTGATTTTCACTATTGCTCAAATAGTGCTTTACTGCGAAGGATCGTGCATATATACGTTTCATAACCGCAGTTCATACATATGTTTCATATGTTTGTTGTTGTTTGATACCAACTAGTCTTGAAATAAAATAAAACATATCTTAGTGGCAGGTGTGTGTAGAAAAATGAAGGAAATACTCGTTTAGTAGGATCGTTGCGGGTTAAAATACAGAAAACTTAAATTCTTCCGGGAACACGACTGAAAAAGTTCTTAGAATGAGCTGAGCTACAGTATGGTTTTCTGTCTTTTATTTCTTAAGACCAGAAAGCGTATCTTTTTGTTATCCAGCGAATTGTGGTATTTTGACAAATGTGGGTGAGTCTCACTTTAGATGAGACAAAGCGTCCATTCGTTATGTGAAGAGTAACGTTTACAATTATGATTTCCGAAACGAGAAGCTTCCGTTCAGACCAAGCTAAACTTGTTTATCACACGAAATGCTTTGAATAGAATTCCCAGTATCGAAACTTTTTGTTGATATTTGATTTGTCAATATATTGTAACTTCCCGGAGCACCTACTGAAGTACAAAACTGATGGACAATTCTTACCTGAACGTGACTGAACACGCGCTCATAGTCCAGCGGTTTATCCTTTCCCTCCATATCAGTGGGGTCCAGTCCATCTCCGCCGTACATGAACTGCACAATGTCTCCGACTGAATTTCTTACAGTCAAGTCATACTGGGTGGCGAGGTCTTCTAACGACTGAATAAATTCCCAAAACGAGAATTGTTGTTTTCTTAGTGAAAGAAAAAAAATCCTTTCTCCACCAAAAAGTTATTAGATTGTAACGACACGTAACAAAAACAGTGGAGCCTTGTGAGCTGAGCTTATCCGTATTTCTATTGCACGAAGAGACTGACAAATTGGGACTCGGCCTAAATCAGCAGGATGCTAGTCCACTTCCGGTTCCCACTCCTCCCTCCCCTCCCATCCCCCTACATTTCGTCAAGTTCCCTGGTAAGTTTGTGTTTCCCACTTAGAAATTATCCCGGAAGGACGGAGGTAACATGAGAAACAGGTTTCTTCAACACACAGGGCTTGAATCCCGACCCTCTTGATAATCCAATGAGCTAACCACAATTTTCAAATCAAACTTCTTGGTTATTAATTTGTTACTCATTATTTTGTACCTTAACAAGTCGTCTTTGCATGTATCCAGTTTCTGCAGTTTTAACGGCAGTATCCACAAGTCCTACAAAGGAAAAAAGCTATGTAACTATTTATCTGTACTACTTCAACAAATTCTAGGACGAGCATGAAAACGACGAGACCGACAATGATAGGAATAATATAAAGATATCGATGGCAATAATAATATTAACGGTTTTTTCGTTGTTGTTTTCTTTCCGATTTCATTATAATCCAACGAAGCTTCAGGTCTTCGGCATTTTTTCAAAAGTATTATGAACACCAAGACTTTTGCTGACTGTCGCCAAACTTCAATATAACAATTCGCAAAATTTCGCTCTCAATACCTTCTCTTCCAGCCATGGTGTGAAAAAAAAATTCTGTGGGAGTAAGACCAGAGTAGAAGCTGTTTTTGACAAATCCTTTGGCAGCTGGAGATTTGGCTGTGATGTAATGAACGGAAAATGAAAAGTGAATAAGTAAATGATATATATATTTTTTCCATGTTCGTTTGCAATCTGGGTTGTTCAGTATTTCGTTTGTCATTTACTTTTGTTGGCTCGCACATTTACATCTCGTAATCATTCTTGCAAAGATAAAACGTTCCTTACAATGTCGTTTAAAGTGAGGCAAAGCTCTGTCTTCAAATCCATTTGGGATTCTCTTGCCTGAGATGGCCTGCTGACCAACACAGGCGATCATCTGTGAAATGTTGATGAACGATCCTGAAAACAGAAACAAGAACTGGTAAAAGAAAATCCTGTTAACATAATCAACAAGATTCGTCCGTGTCTCCTTGTAAATAATTACACAGAAAACAACCAATGAAACAAATATGACTAAATAACACTGTTTATTATCCAACTACACCTAGACGAGTACAAATAACGCCATAGACGAGTACAAATATCACGCGGTATTTGTACTCGTCTATTGTAGTACCCGTTAAACAGGTTTTCTCGCATCGCGCAAGCGAAGAATTGAATTGTAGGTACGGAGAAAAAAAAAAAAAATGGCGGACAATTTGAATCATGTTTCCGACGACGAAGAGTCAGAATGGCTGGCAAATATAGGTCCAAGTTCATTAGATGAATCGAACGAAGAAAAACAGCTTGACGACCAGAAAATTTCTTCATTTAATGAAGAAAATAGAAACAGCGACACAACAACGCGCCAATTCCGTTCCGCTTCGCATACTTCTGTCACGCATTCCCCGTAAATAAATATCCGCGAAATTCGCCCGCACTGAAATAACAGTTTGGCGTGTTGGATAATAAATAACTTATTAGACGTTTTGTTGTGTAGTATCGCTGAGTATTTTTACTCGTTATTTGTATTTTGACTCGCCCTACGGGCTCGTCAAAATACGGCACAACTCGTAAAAATACTCAGCGATACTACACAACAAAACGTCTAATAAGTTATTTATTATCCAACACGCCAAACTGTTATTTCAGTGCGGGCGAATTTCGCGGATATTTATTTACGGGGAGTGCGTGACAGAAGTATGCGAAGCGGAACGGAATTGGCGCGTTGTTGTGTCGCTGTTTCTATTTTCTTCATTAAATGAAGAAATTTTCTGGTCGTCAAGCTGTTTTTCTTCGTTCGATTCATCTAATGAACTTGGACCTATATTTGCCAGCCATTCTGACTCTTCGTCGTCGGAAATATGATTCAAATTGTCCGCCACTTTTTTTTTTT